ACGAGGGTTATATGCAGGGCACAACACCCACACAGAATACCTCAAATGAGTTCGACTAACTGGGTAAACACTCACCACAGCGTAACTACTCGTGGTGTCATGGGTTGCTGAGGAATGCCGTACATCCGGGCCAGACCGAAATCAGCTGTGTGCAGAAAATAACGAGTGCTGATCAGTTCAACATCAAGTAATCGGATTTTATCTGATTTTAATTTATTTTTATTGGGTAATCAAAGGTAGAATGTCTAAATATCACTTCTCCTGATTACAGTGGGATTAAACAGCAGAAAAGTGCACAATGTTAGGGAGGCCGTTTTAATGTTGTGTCTGAGAGTCCAACACCCATCGGGAACAAGTCTGACTTATTGCCGGCTATGCGAGCCAAGCTATGGCAATGGTTGTATAAGGATCGAATGTGTCGTAGCAATGGGCCAGACACCCTATACTTCTGAAGCACCTCCCACAGGACACTCCGAGGGACACAGTCAAATGCCTTCTCCAAGTCCATAAAACAGATGTAGGCTGGCTGGGCAAACTCCCATGACCCATCAAGTATCCTTGAGAGGATAAAGAGCTGGTCCAGTGTTCCACGACTGGGACGGAAACCTCATTGTTCCTCCTGTATCCGAGGCTCGACCAACGGATGGACTCTCCATTCCAGCACCCTGGTATAGACTTTCCTGGGGATGCTGAGGAACTATAGGGGGATGATGACCCCCCTATAGTTGGAGCACACACTCTGTTCTCTCTTCTTGAAGATGGGAACCACCACCCCGATTTGCTAATCTAGAGGTAATGCCACACAACATTATAGCGGCGTGTCAACCAAGACCGTCGTACAACATCCAGAGTCGTCTGACGTTTTGCTAGAATCTCTTTTTGGAGTCCATAAGATTTATTTAGTATGTATTTATAGTACCAAATCACATCAGAAGTTCCCTCAAGGGACCTATTATTATTATACTAGGAAGCAGGATCTTGAAATTGACACGGAGGTAAAGAAACCTGCAATAATAATATATTTAGATAATGTCTATATTAGAAAAATGCTTTCTACCATCAGTTCATTAATCAACAGTCAAACCTTTGTTGTCTAGTAAAATTTAGTAAAATTCCAAAAATAAAAATAATAATGGATTGGATTTATATAGCGCTTTACAATGCCACTATTCATTC